TAAATCGCCTTCATGCATGAATGAATGATATTTTTGCAATTTTACACATAATAATCCACGATGATCATATTACACAAAACTGAAATTGCACGTCAAAATAACACATTGTCAATATTTTTTGAGCCCCCCCAAAATTTCACAAATCACGATTTCAGGGGAGCCCATGTCTTATTAAGGGGAGCCGAGCTCCCCGGCGGCGGCAACAATACTACAGCGAGAATAAAAGTTACGCCTTCTTTCTTTGCGTGAACATTTGGGCGGCGTTATGCAAATCTTCCCACATTGTGACGTAGATATGTGGGGGCGTGTTAGAACGAGCCGTTTTAGGTAGGCGTGGCTGACTCTTAACTTTTATAAAGAACATCTCTTTGGATTTGAGACTTTAGTCTTTGCAACTTTACAGATCTTCTTTATGCACCAAGAGCTTGTAACACTCCAAAGAGAAAGGAACAATTGAAATCGCATCATATGACCCCTTTAAATAATTAATATTTCTGATAACTCAAAATATTTGAAAACAGATTGCAGTAGATTTGACCTTAAATGTTTGTTGATTGATCAGTCTGGTCAGTGTATCGGTCTGACACTTCTAGTAGTATTTCTAGTCATTTTGTAGGACTGTTGATGTTGTAACACCAAGTTCTTTTCCCCGATGCTCATTCTTTTGGTGTAAATCGCTGAAACTCCCCCGATCTTCATGTTTGGATAACAAATCCCGCTCTCTGTGCCCCTTCCAGAGTTTGTCAGTGCTAGATGATTCGAACCCCAGCAGTCCTGCTTCAGATTTTTCTGGGCTGGTGGTGGAGCCCAACCTGTCAGGCCGCTCTCATACATTAACCTTCTCCTCCAGCGAGGTGAGTGCAGATCAGACATGACGCTCTCACCGCCGTTCGTTTGCATGGGTTTCCTGTAACCATCTGGAAGGTCAAGTATTGTCTCGTGCCTCCCGCCCCTTCGCTCGTGTAGTTCCTGTGTTATTTTTAGCTTGAAGCACTGCGTGTGTGTGCTGATGGCGTTCCCCGTTTGTTTTCATGTGGCTGCTCTCAGTAGTGTTTGCTTTTGCATGACCGAGAGGATCAGATGCATGCATGATGTTGTGTCAGATAACATTCACAAGTTCTGTGCACAGAATTCATGCATTCACCTTCATTATATTCTACAGTAATCAAAAAGTACCATGGTATTAATATGTTCTACGTTTCTAGGAGCATGAGATTCACCTGGCTGATATGTGTGTGTATTAGATGCTGGATGAGGAGCCTTGTTCTGGAGGGAAGGAGTATCATTGGCAGAACCGTCCCGTCTCTGATTGGACGTCCCAGCAGGTGTGTCACTGGCTGATGGGTATGAACATGGATCAGTACACACCTGAGTTCAGCACACAGGCCATCGATGGACAGCAGCTCCTCAACCTGGACAGTGACAGACTCAAGGTGAGCGGCCTGTGCTCTCATAGAAGGATATATTTTGAAGAGAACTGACATCAACTGGGCATTAATGCGGCTGTATTAAATGCATGCGTTTGTATTGTAATTAGAAATATCTTTATTTTGGCTCATTTTGAATTCTTGGACATTACAGTGGCTCATTTTAAAAGATGGATATGATTCTATGATTAAAGCTGTGTGATAAAAAAAATAAATAAATCTTGAAACTTATGGAGGCCCGTTTCCGCCACTGAATAAAAAAATAAAAAAATGGTTATTGCGACTTTTTATCTCACAATTCTGACTTTTTTTCACAGAATTGTGATGTAAACTTGCAGTTGCAAGTTATAAAGTCAGAATTGCGAGATATAAACTCAATTCTGACTTTTTTCCCTCAGAAGTGTGAGATAAAAACTCGCAATTCTGACTTTTTTTCTCGCAATTCTGACTTTATAACTCGCAATTGTGAGTTTATATCACACTTCTGAGAAAAAAAGGCCGAATTGTGAGTTTATATCACGCAATTCTGAGAAAAAAAGTCACAATAACCTTTTTTTATTTTTTATTCAGTGGCGGAAACGGGCTTCCATAGAAACTGGCACGGAGCATCGGGATGACATTTTTTAATGAATTTTTTTTATTCTAAAAAATGTTTAATGCACCAAATTACAATAGAAATGTATTTAAAATAAATGAAAACAAAACTTTCCTAATGTATATAGGCTATAGCCTTTTTTGAAAAATGCGAATTAAAAAAGATAATTTAAGAAGAATTGATCAATTTTACTGCTATTGTGTGAATAATATGCAATCATGTATTAAAAAAAAGTAATTGTAGTCTGATTATGAGATTTAAAAACATTATAAATCTAAAAGTAAAAAGTAAAAGTAGTAATCAGTTATACTGATAACAAAATACACACATTTTATGGAAACGTTATAATAAAGTACTGAAAATGTAATGATCCTTAGGATAATTACAAAATAATGGTAGACTTATCCAAAATTATACATTTAGATTTTTTTTCTAATTTCATATTTCAGTCTAAATAAACTGCAATAAAAAAATGTATACAGATTAACACATTTCTACTACTTTGTTTTAAACAGTATATCACCCACGCTTATTAAGAATGATATTTAATGACGTGTTTATTTTTTACCAATTACAATAATTCAAACATAGAGTTCCTCAGCTGATCCAGACTGATTTGTTACACCAGTGTGAATATAAAATGCCTTGTGAGTAGGGATGTAACGGTATGAAAATTTCTTATCACGGTTATAGTGACCAAAATGATCACGGTTATCGGTATTATCACGGTATTGTTAAAATGTGCTGGAGATGTTCAAAAAGTACTGACACACAAATAATTTCACAAAGTTTTACATTTAAAATCAACAAACGACAAATAAAATGAGTTTTTGTTTGCATAACTAAAACAATAACATTGCCAATGATGTCCGGATTTTAAATGACAACATGACTGACAACAGTTTATCTAATAGCATGTTCAAATATCTAATGTAAATGTTCAAATAAAGCTTTGAAAAAGTTTCATAAATGGTAAACCTCACATTTCAGCTTTTAAATAAAGAAAAGGGTCAAGTCAAAATGATAAATGATTATATGTATTTATCTGCTCCATAAATAATACTAGATACCTTATTGTTTAAATGTGTAGAATCCACATAAGCTTGTTTTTCATCAACCAGTCAACGTTTACAGCAGGGCATGCAAATTCGGTCCATTTTTTGGCCCAGACAAAAACTGCACCCAGGCTGAATGTAAATGTAACTCTCTGTTTTGCCGTTTGATGTTTCTCACATGCAACAGAAATGCAGCGCTTATGAGTTAAACAATGCGGTGGTCACGCCAGTGCGACCGCACACACAATTTGGTCGCACACTGGAGCCCTGTGCAGTACCGTATTTATTTATCCTCAGTTGTTCAAATCGCGGTAATCGAATACGGTTATAGTGATAATTAAAATATGAAACGGTAATACTAACCGTGGGGTATTTTATCACGATTTATCGTCAAACCGGTAATCGTTACATCCCTACTTGTGAGAATGAAGAAATGTCTCGGTTTATGAATGATTCGGCCATCACTCTCATTCCATGCCGAAACTAAACTGCAAGCACAAATTTCAGAAAATGCATCTCACTGTAACATTTAAGATGTCGCTTAATTGTATTTTGCTTGTGATTACTTGTGAATTACTTGAAATGCTCTCCACAGGCTCTGGGTGTTTCCAGTCAGAATGACCGAGCCACAATCAAGAAGAAACTGAAGGAGATGAAGAAAGCCCAGGAGAAGATGGAGAAACAGCGGGAGAAGCGGGAGAAAGAGGCCAGACGCAGCGGACGGCTGCCTGCCAGCACTGACTCTGTGTGCTGATGATGTTCAGAGCATCACGGTTTCTTCATCTTTTCACTTTAATTCTCCACACACTCCAGTGACTGAATTCAGTCAGTAACAGGCAGTCATCCTGAAACACTAATGAAGCTGCTTACAAGACCACATTTTACTCTCTTCAGTTCAGTCTGTGCAGCACAAATATGAGCAGAATATGTTCATCTACAGGTAGTGAATTTACTAAGAAAAGTGTTTACAGGGTGTGTTGCCTTCACTGTAAAAAGAAAAACAAATGTTTTTTTAAATCAGTATTTTGTCTTTATTTTCAGTCAAATATCTCAGCATCCCTAAAACAAGATAAATGTACTTGCATAACAAGAGATGACTTACAGATTCAGACAGATCGGAGAAATGTACAAAATTGTATTCAATGTTTATTTTTGTTGTTGTTTTTGCCACAAGCTTAAATTCCCAGTGAAGAAATTGCGTTTAATTCAAGATACGTCCTCTGAAACAAATCTATATCTTTGCTTCTCGAGTAATTGTGTCTTAAGGACGTTTTTACTGGAAAACAAGACAAAATACTGATTAAGAAAATATCTTTGCAGTGTTTTAGATTTTTTTTCTTTTAGACTAGCTTGTAAGAACATTAATATGGCTGTCCAATTTATAGCAGACCAAAACTTTTATTAGTTTTAATTGTATTTAATGATACCACTGTAGGGGCTATTAAAAAAAACAATCTTGCTAAGGGATATATAAATATTTAGATGCCAACTTTGCCGCTAATATTGTGGCACGAATAGTGCTTTTAAAAAGATTTCTTAGTCATTTTGCTGGATCCTTGTACAGTCGAGTGATATTGAGCACTATATTTTTACTGAAACAAAGGGGAACATGGTTTATAAATGTACAAATGAGATATTTAATACACCACTATTAGCATAGCTTTAAGGAAGAGACATTAACTTTTTTTTGTACACATTTTCTACTAAGTAGAATAGCTTGTTGGGCAAAACCATTTAGCTAATTCTGAAAAGCAGAGAGTGAAACTCAAAGTGAAAGGTGTTTGTACATCACCTTTGTTGTTTTTATTTGGACGGTTACTGCTTTTATATTATGGATATGGTTAAAAAATAGACAATTGTTACAGAATGCAGCGTAGTTTTATTAGTGGCCATGGCCCAAATTGTAACAGAGGTTGTAATGAATTTAAGTAGCCTACTGATTATCAACTGATTGTAAGCGTCGTTTTCAAAGAGACGCCACCTGTGCTCATGTCATCGTGATTCTGTGGTTATATTTTTCTACCTTGTGAAATAGATGATTTTGAACAGACAAAAATCAAGCTTTCTATCTGGAACAAATAAATGCTTTCACCTCTTGTAAAAGAAAAAAACGGTGTGTTTTCAGTCCAAAATGCAGTTCCCTTCACAGCAGAACTGATTTTAAATCACTTTAAATCATTTTAAATTCAGTCACTGCTCAGTTAGCTATTAAAAAGCAGAAGATTCAGATTTGTACACTAGTGATGGGCGCTTTTGAAGCACTGCTCCGTGAAGCTTCGAAACCTTTGCAAATCATTTGCTTCAAGCCCGTGAATCTGCCGAAGTCACGTGACTTCAGGAAACGAGCCTACGTTGCGTCATCTGTGTTTACATTTTATGTTTTATTTAACCTGATCTCGGATTTGCCGATATTTTTAATGACATTTGTATAAAAGGAAGATTAGTAGTTAATAGCCTCTTATAGCCAAGCCCTGCAAATGAATAAAAGAACACATGCAGAAACTTAATATTTATTGGTATTTGATTTTGTTATTTGCATTTAGTAGATTATACTTTCAATAAAACATTTGCTGTGGGTTTTGATCAAGCGGCAACCTCCCGCTCTCTCTCGTGAAGCCAACAAGGAAGTGACTTAAACTGTAATTCATCAACTGGCCGCTAGAGGCTGGCTGCAAAAGGGAGTCAATCCCATAGACTCCCCATGTTAAAATGCCCAACTTTACAGCAGAAAAAAACATGTTTACAGCCTGGTTTAAAAAATGATTTTGGTATATATAGCTAATTTTGCCCTTCATGACAACTGAGGGGGGTGAATTTTTTTATAACTCATCCGTTTAAATTATATTAAGCCTTAAAGTTCTGCATAATTAAGGGCGTGGCCACTTGAGTGACAGGTGGATTGCTGCTGCTGTCACCACAGTCAAGCTAGGTGGGCGTGGTTTCAACAACCAGCTCCCGCCTCTTTGCCCATTTTCGATTATCCGGGAGTGACGCGCTGCCAAGATGGCGACGGCCGCCTCCGCCCACTTTTGAGCATCAAAAACGCTCTTCAGAAAACTACGGGTGACGTCACGGACACTACGTCCATGTTTTTATACAGTCTATGGTTTTGATCTGTGTCTGGCTTAAGTTTTTTGGTACATTTAGACAGTTCTGAGCAGCCGGCGTCACCGGTGTGTTGTTTTGAGCGCTTGTTTCGCGAATTCGAATTTGATTCAAAGTTTCGAAAAGGATCTTTTCTCCCATCACTACTGTACACTAAAGTTTGAATGTCACTGCACTGGAAAACATATCCTACTCCCCAAAAACCTCACAAACCTCAAATAATAGAAAAACACAACTCTTTAAAATAAAACAAAATGCATTTTGATACTTCGTGGGACTGTAAATGTACGTAATGGAGATGTATCTTTGGTTACTCTGGTAGGAAACCTGTGTGAACTGACTTCACACATCCTCTAAAAATCACAAAAACACTAATAATTGCACAAATGACTCAAGAAAATAAGTCAAAGCACATGCAGGAAAGCGCAATGACTGAGTCTGCAGTTACAGTCTGTGTCCAGTAGAGGACTGCTGTTGAAACAGGATGAGTTTCAAACTACTAAACACTTGGAACAGATTCAAACTGGTCTAAAGAAGCCGACAGTTCACACACGTACATGCGTTTGTTCCTTTTTATTGTCATTTAAGTGCGGGAATTGTTCATTACTTAGTTGAAGCAAGCTGAACATTTTCTAGTGGTGTGAAGCGTTTAACACTTTCAAACTCTTCACACTACATTCTCACTTTAAAAAAAAAAAAAACTGAAAACAAAATGGGACTGCACACGGAGTGTACACCAGTTATGCTGGTGTATATATTATAGCCCACAGCTGTGTGACACACAAGCTTGATTTCCCAAATCACAACATGCACGTTTAAAGCAAAAATGATCAACACTTCAGTCTGTCTCGTGATGACAGACAAATAAATATATATTGGCTTACACATCCAAATGTAAGATTAATAGGTCATTAAACACATACTGGATCACACTCAGAAATAATACACCAGAAGGACAACAGCCTAAATTGTCTATCTGGGGATGTGATGGCACTAGCAACACCTGTGCGAACTTATAACACTGGTAACATCTGGTACTTTTTCATTAGAACATACTAGAAACATGTAGTGTTTCAGCATGCTCTTTTATATATTCCTTTGAGCCCCAGTCTCTTTTGTTCCTCTATCCTGATCTACACAGGGCGGACAGATGAAGGTAAGACGCTTTATTTGGTCTGCTGAAGCAGGTGCATTGGTGAAGGGTGCGAGAGGGAGTCTGGACGAACACATTCACGACACAAGCTTTGAGATCAGACTAGAAGCTGCGGAAGGTGGTCATGTCCTTGGGCTCTTTGCTGGGAACACACCAGTCATCGGCTTCGTGGATGGTTTTATAATGTTTCCAGGCAGATTTGTTGTAAACGGGAAGCCTCTCGATGGACTCAGTGGACAAAGCCTTCAGGGATGAAAAAAATAAATAAATAAAAATACATTATTATTATTATTATTATTATACCATCATTCAAAAGTTTGAGGTCAGTAAGTTTTATTTTATTTAAATTTTTTTTTAAATAAGCCTCTTTTGCACCAAGGCTGCATTTATTTGATACAGTAAAAACAATAATATTGTAAAATATATATATATTTTTTTAAAATAAGCCTCTTTTGCACCAAGGCTGCATTTATTTGATACAGTAAAAACAATAATATTGTAAAATATATATATATTTTTTTAAAATAAGCCTCTTTTGCACCAAGGCTGCATTTATTTGATACAGTAAAAACAATAATATTGTAAAATATATATATATTTTTTTAAAATAAGCCTCTTTTGCACCAAGGCTGCATTTATTTGATACAGTAAAAACAATAATATTGTAAAATATTTTTATAATTTATAATAACTGCTTTCTATAATAATATATTTATAATTTTAATTTATTCCTGTGATGCAAAGCTGAATTTTCAGCATCACTACTCCAGTCTTCAGTGTCACGTGATCCTTCAGAAATCATTCTAATATGCTGCTTAAGAAACATTTCTGATTATTATCAATGTTGGAAAGAGTTGCGCTGCTTCATGTGTTTGTTTCATATTTAAAAGCATTAAATTGAGTCTGTTTTAGGACCATTCAGATTTTTTGCATTGAGACGCACATTTCAAATGTTGGTTTTGTTGTTTTTAATAATATTTTTCCACATTACTGTAAGGGGTGTGCACAAATAGTTGAATATTTGATATGTCATTATTATTCAAAAAATAAAAACACTATTCGAATTTTACTACATTTTGCTTTGCTGGCCATAAATGCAGGGAATCCATGATAAATCCTAAGCACACAAACGAAAAGTCAGTTATAACTAAATGCACTGGGTGGCGCTGTGGAGCATGTTGACAAGTTGATTGTATTTGATCGCAGACTGTAGTCATCTGCCTTGTGAAGTTTTGATTTTTCGAATAATAATTACATTTCGAATATTCGACTATTGGCACTATATATATATATATATATAACGTAACGTTGTAGAACATTGTTGTGTATGATGCCTAATCATAAGCTTGTTCAGAAATGGTGACAAAAACTTGATTATTAAAAAAATAATGTCTTTCTCGTTAAACGTCATTTAAACGAATATTCGTTTTTTTATGAGCCCAAATATTCGAATACAACATTTTTGAAAAATGCCCATCCCTAATTACTGTAATGACAATGAAATTATTTGCATTACCATAAAAAGAATGGTGAGACAATATCATTAAAAAAAATTTAATGCAAAAAAACCTGAAATGTCCTAAAACAGAATTAACTTTTTTTATGCAAATAATTATAATAAAAATACATCGTTTTGGGGGGGATGAAAACCAGGGGTTTTTATTTAAGGTTATGGATACAGACAGAGGTACTCACTCTGATATAAATGACAGCATCTGTGCCGAATCCCTCCATAGAGTACAGCTTCAGGTCTCCTTGGAAATATCTGGCGTAAAGTCTGGAGATGGGCAGCCCATAACCAAAACCAGCCTGAGACCACAACACAGCACATGCCATCAACATAGCAGAGATATATTGTAAATGAACATATTGTGGGTGCTTAAACAGGTCAGTACAGGAAATATGTCATTCAAAACAACGTATTTGCCATTTTTACTGATAGACAAGTTGAAACAAATAATGTAGAAATAAAAAAACAGGGAGAATGAGATCAAGAAATGCAGGCTCCAACTTGCTACATCATTTGTCATTAGTGGTTCAACGGATCACATATCTCACGGTTTCGGATCATATTACAGTTTTTGAGCCACGGATCGGATAGTTTTTCGGATCAGCAAGAAAAAAAAATCTATGTAACTGTGCTTTCCATAAGTACGATACCACAGCAAAAACTCTTAGCCTAAGAAAGTTCAAACATTATTAAAGAGACAAGCGAACAGCCAGTAAAAATAAGAACAAATAGGCTACACAAATTACAAGCATAGATAAATACAACAGAACAATGTTACAAATAAGGTCGGTAGTATTCAGATACAGAAATGTACAAAAAAAAAAAAACTGCATAGTGTTCACTATATAAATTTAAAAATAGATTCATCTTTGTCAAAAATGTGTTTTGTGGTTTGATGAGCATAATGACAGCAGCAGGTATTATTAGGCTGCTGCCCCTTTAAGAACTGATGCGCGGATCCAATATCATAGAATCTTTAAAATACGTCCGAGAGTTTTACACACCGGTCTGTTATTGTGGCGACATTTCCACACCCCGAAGCGCGACGCTTGAAACTACATGAACTGTGATTGGTTGTTTGACATGTCGGTCAAACGGCTTCATGGCCAATGAAAGCTGCCATGGATTCCAGACCTTCAGCCGTCAGTCTGAAGGTCTGGCTACGCGAGACTAGTTCAAAGGCAAAGAGTGAATGAGATAGGAAAGATGGTTCAGTTCGGTGTCCGCGTGCAGTCAAACGTGCCTCTCTGCATGTGCAAGCTTCATGTTTGTGCGGCTGTGATAAGAAAACAAATCGAGTTCCATTTAGCCTTTTCTTTCGCTAGAATGGTTTAAAATCGCTTGCGTGTGTAAACACGTGCAATTGATAAACTTTCATTCTATTATGGTTACATTTTGCAATTAATCCGCGGATCACATGCGTGCCGAACCGTGGGGCTTGGTCCGTACGAATCACGGATCAACTACGATCCGTTTAACCACTATTTGTCATCCATTTGTCTGAGCATGTAAGCCAATCACTAAGCCACAGCTATTTCAACTCTTCAGTTTCTAACCATTAAAAAATAAAAGTGGGACCCTGAGATGCAGACAGTATGTCAGATTTCAGAGAGGTCACACACTGACCAGAGGAGTGGCTCGAGACGTGTCCATCTGAGGACGAGGGGCAGTGGAGTACGTGTAGGTAAACAACCTGTCAATCTTCCTCAGCGGGACTCCGCCTCCACGATCACTGACCTATCACAGAACAACACGATTCACATTAAACCGGATAATAGCCCATTACTGATCAAAGATTCTGACATTAAGTGCAGATTTGCACTAGTATTAATTTAAACCATTTGATCAAAAATGCAGTAAAAACAGTAATACTGCAAAATGTAATATAATTGTTTTCTAGTTTAATATTTTAAAATATAATTTATTCCTGAATTTTCACATCCTTCACCAATCATTCCAGAACCAATTCTTATTATTATCAAGGTTAAAAACAATATTTGTGGAAACGTGATAGAAAGTACAAAAGAACAGCATTTATTTGAAATATAATTCAACAAATGAAAGAAAGAACTAAAGAAAGAAAGAAAGAGAGAATGAACGAAAGAGAGAAAAAGAAAGAAAGAGAAAGAACGAATGAATGAGAGAAAGAAAGAACGAATGAACAAAAGAAAGAACGAAAGAGAAAGAAAGAAAGAAAGAACAAATGAATGAGAGAAAGAGAGAAAGAACGAACGAAAGAGAAAGAAAAAGAAAGAACGAACAAATGGACGAAAGAAAGAGAAAAAGAAAGAAAAAGAACGAACGAAAGAAAGAAAGAGAGAATGAACGAAAGAAAGAAAGAGAATGAACGAAAGAAAGAATGAGAGAAAGAGAGAAAGAACGAAAGAAAGAAAGAAAGAAAAAAGAGAAAGAACGAACAAATGGACGAAAGAAAGAAAGAACGAATGAACAAAAGAAAGAACGAATGAAAGAAAGAAAGAAAGAGAAAAAGAAAGAAAGAGAGAAAGAAAGAACGAATGAATGAGAAAGAAAGAGAAAGAACGAAATAACGAAAGAGAGAAAGAAAGAACGAATGAATGAGAGAACGAATGAACAAAAGAAAGAAAGAACGAACAAACGGACGAAAGAATGAATGAGAGAAAGAGAAAAAGAATGAATGAACAAAAGAAAGAACGAAAGAGAGAAAGAGAAAGAACGAATGAATGAGAGAAAGAGAAAGAAAGAACGAATGAATGAGAGAGAAAGAAAGAACGAAAGAGAAAGAACGAATGAACGAAAGAAAAAGAAAGAGAAAGAACGGAAGAGAGAAAGAAAGAACGAACGAATGAATGAGAGAAAGAGAGAACGAATGAACAAAAGAAAAAGAACGAAAGAAAGAACGGAAGAGAGAAAGAAAGAAAGAACGAACGAATGAGAGAGAGAGAGAGAGAGAGAGAGAGAAAGAAAGAAAGAAAGTCGTTTGAATGGTAATTTCAGGAACTCTGTGATCTATGGTAAAGGTCAGTATAATTGAGAAGAGTCCAGCTGGCTGTTTGGTGAAGTGAGGTGTCACCACAGATCTGACCGCATCTGTACCTTCACAGTCAGGTCCTCGTGGCCCAGGACGATCTGCACATGCACTGGAGGATACTCCATGGCATCTTCATAAAGCTCCATGGTGGCGCGCATGGCATTCTGCAGGAGTCACACAACATATTTATAGCTCAGCACGCTGCTGCTCACCTAAAAGAGCAAAGCCATTTAATGTGCGTCATGTGACACAAAATCATGCATGATCCAATACTGAATATTTACATTTCACTCAGAACTTTTGGCAAATATGCTCTCCAGATGAGTGCATACTTCAATATTTCAGCAGTGAGAAAAGATGTACCTTAAAGAGCTCAAACACCATGTGGTACAGATGAGACGGCACATACACCACAGCACTGGGTTTATCGGGTCCTTTAACTGTGGAGGAAACACACGAGAAACAGCACTCACACTTCTGACCGTCCATGAGGACCGTCCTAATCATTCATTCAGTCGCGTGACTTCAAGTAAATTGTGTGTGCAGCAAGAAGTTACCATTAAATTCTTCCAGTACTAACTCGGGCGAGTTCATATAATACCGGCTGCAAAGGTTACAGGCATTTTCGTACGCATCTGAAATACAGAAACAGGAAAAAGTTGAAATATTGAACAGGAAAATAGATGTTTTATAGATTCTAAAGAGAATATAAATGGTGCTCCTCAAGGCAAAAGTTGCTGTCATGATTGCAGTGTGTTGTGGCTGTTTGCCAGGGTATTGCTACACTGTTTCTAATGTATTTTGGGTGGCTGTGGGCATTCATATCATATTTCACTTTTAAAAAAATCCTTTCCCCACTGTAATACTGGAAAATAAAAATACATAATCATGGTAGCATTTGCTATAATAAATTTAACTTATGCTATTTGATATCTATCTATCTATCTATCTATCTATCTCTATACAATATATATATATATATATATATATATATATATATATAGTTCAGAAGAACAGCATTTATCTGAAATACAAGTCTTTTGTAACATTATTAATATCGTTATCATCACTTTTGATCAATTTAAATCATAACCCGCCCCCCACATGTTATGAGCATCCTGTGCTCCTCAAGGCAAAAGTTGCTGTCATGATTGCAGTGTGTTGTGGCTGTTTGCCAGGGTATTGCTACACTGTTTCTAATGTATTTTGGGTGGCTGTGGGCATTCATATCATATTTCACTTTTAAAAAAATCCTTTCCCCACTGTAATACTGGAAAATAAAAATACATAATCATGGTAGCATTTGCTATAATAAATTTAACTTATGCTATTTGATATCTATCTATCTATCTATCTATCTATCTCTATACAGGCCCGGACTGGCCATCGGGAGCACCGGGAGAATTCCCGGTGGCCTGGTGGCTGATTTGGCCCGCTGCCCTGTTGTTTTTTTTAGTTATTATTATTATTATTAATAGTTTATATTTATGCCTTCTCATTGTACCAAAGTGATCATTTCCGATTTTTTCATGCGATAATAAATCATAAATCGGTTAATCTTGACCGGCAGCGCTGCATTAATCAGCTCACGTCTGTTCCGAACAGAACCGATGCGCAGCGCGGGACTCGATGAAAGAGAGAAAGCGGCCAGAATAAGCAGTGAAATGTAGCAACATCACTGACCTGTTCAGGGCTTCAAGTGCAGGGCAGTTTCATCTGTAAATACGCTAGATAGTTTTGTCTTTAGTGGAGTATTAAACTGCTAGTATCAGTACTAGCACCCCATTATCATCATCATTCAGAATACTGTGCTAAAGGACATCAATATCGATTGTAAAGTTACATTAAAAAATTT